TGTCAWCTWCCCCAGGGACGGATTGGAATTTTGGACCGGCCCGGGAAAATAACTTTTTAGCGGCCCCATGTTTAGATGGTAAACTACCTAATATGTATATTTATAATTATATCAATTCGATATTACTATTTAYAATATTAAAAATAATCTAAATTTAAAATAAAAATATTTTTATWGTTCAGACTACAGTTCCAYGCCGACTTGCATTGTTAAAATTCGTCGTCGTTACCCTCCGACAGGCGACAACACGAAGACGGAATACCAGACTATTTATAAATTTACTGTTCACGGAGATTGTTTTATTTTTGATTAGAATTATTGCAATAACTTTAAATTATTATTCAGTTTTTGTTAAATTTATCCTGTTATATTATGCGTTATAGACTTTGGTAATATTTATTATTCATATTTTGGTTAATGACTTATTGCTTTCTAGTTTGCAATAATTGATATGAATAAAATTTAAAATCGTATTTATAAAAATCTATAAATTTTAAAATTTAATTTGCGACAGGTTACAGCCGTAGTTTGGTAGCGCATGCAGCGGCCCCGTCAACTAGTTAATACGCGGCCCATGGCCCATCGGGAAATGTATCTTCATTGTACAAATCACAAAATTTAAAAACATTAATGACAATATAATAATAAATAACTGGTATGTTTAAAAAGCATTTTCTTAGCAAATATTACATATTAGTATATCATATATAATTAGATGTACCTGGTCTTTACGTATTAGCATTGAGTATACTACAATCATCGAACAAATCACAAAATTTAAAAACATATTATAAAAATTACAAATCGAATAAAACTACATATTACTGTACAGTGTACACAGTACACATTGTGATATGAGATAAAATACGTGAATCTATAATAAGATGTATAATTTCGTCTCGTATGAGAGTCATATGAGTTGTTTTCCCACGTTATGTGGAATCTAACATATTACTATATTAGTAAAGGTATAATGCAATAAAAATTATAAAGTTTATCTAAACGACTTTACGATAAGTACTGTCGTTGAGTCGTTCAGAAATATAATTTAAACAGATTTTAATACGGACTAGTGCATTGTTATCGGAACTACTGCAATATTTCAACTTATATATGCTTATATTAGTGTGATTATAGTATTATACAATCGGGCAAAATGAGTGAAGTTGAAAATAATATTAATTTAAAAAATTTTTTTATATGATATACTAATATGTAATATTTGTTAAGAAAATACTTTTAAAACATACCACTTATTATTAAATTGTAATTTATGTAACTTTATATTAAAATATCCAGTATTTCTATTTATTTGTTAATAATAATTAAGACTTTAAAACTAGCAGTAATCTTGTGATTTGAAAAATGAAGATACATTT